TATGCATTAAGTCAGAGGCCTCTAAAATCCACAAGTACTTGTAGCCTTCTTCTGGTTTCACTCCCATCCGGTCACATGGGTAGCAAGCCACTCCCACAAAGGAGGCCACACCCACAGAGTAGGTTCGAACAATTTTTGAAACCCACCACTGGCCTGGACAGTGGGGACACTTAAAGAAATCACTATTTGTCCATCTTTATATAAATGGACTGACCCACACCTGCGGAATTAAGTACAGATCAAAATGTAATCATCCCCTCCAGCGTTGCAATTCTTTGTCTTTCGCGTTAGCGGATTGTGGAGCGAGTTCAAATATTTGTATGTTATAATCCCACTTTTTTTTGGAAGCACACACATTAGGAGACCTAAAATGCTTACCAAAGAATCTACAAAGGTTGTGGGGCAGGAGGGTGGAATGTGCCCATGTTACTTTACTGGGCTAATGACTTTTTTCCTGGCCTGAATGAAAGAGTTACTGAAATGTGGGTGACCCAGAAAAGGTTTTCTGATTGCAATTCGACTCACAAAAGAAGTTGCAAGAAACAATTGGATGAGTCACGGAAAGGCCCATGCATGTTGCTGTAATGAAACAAAAGGACCCATGAAGAGTTCACGGCTGGCAACATTATGCAGATGTGGGTTTTCCTTGGGTTACATCTGCCATTGTCTAACCAAATCCCAGCAGTCAACAATGAAGATTTTTACTATAGAAGATGCACTTTTTCAAATATAATTAGCATTTCTGACCTGTGGTCTTGTGATGCTAGCAGTGAGATAGTGCCAACCATGAGCCAGACTGATAACATTTGAGGAGCGTGAAGCAAATCAGGTAACATAAATATTCCAGAAGAGGACAATGTTATTTCTCAATGGACACCACCAATCAAGCTCTGGTCACATTCAATCTTTGCTATAATTACCTTAATCGGTTTTTTCTGTGTGTGCTTGCATTCAGGCAAAGGACTCTATTATCCCAAAGGTGCTTTCTCAAAAGGCAACTATCCAGTTGTTGTTGTTTTCAAAAAGCATCTTTGGGACAACCGTAACCTGGATGACTAAAAATTTGCATAAACAATGGGTTTGATTAAACTAGGTAANGCATGACTAAACGCCGAATGCACACAGAATGCTGTTACAGAAGTGGGAAGGTAACAAAATACAAATGGAAAATACAAATGGAAGCTTTGAGGGTTGTTTAGCTTACAGTGAATTAAAGTAAACATATAAATAAAAATAACCATTGGATGGTTACAAACATGTGCCAAAGACTGTTTTCCCTTCCATCTATTGACCATCTGGACTTTTGTTGACCAGATCTAGTAGTCCTAGTTAGTTGTTATACCTTGGTGGGCTCTAAAGAGAGTGATTAGCATGACACTTCAAGGTATTAATTCAATCGCAATAATCCTGCATTCATAAAAATTGGTACTTATTTTGTACTTGAAGCAGCCATGGGTTCAACTGTATCATCAATAGATTTCCAAACATTCACTTCTAGGTAAAATGCACTTTCTTCAGACAGTTATTAAGGATCATAAAACAAAAGTGCTGGCTAAGATGGACAAGGGAGAACTTGGAGCACCCTGGGGGAGGGGGGGACTGCTCCAGTGTTGACCCCCCACAAGACATAGCATCAGTCAGTTCTTTCAGGAAAGTTAAAGGCAGAATTTAAAGTTAGAATACCTTTACACCTTAGATGTATGACACACAACAATCACAAAATTGCACAGGGTTTTCTACTAAGCAATATATAACCACATTACTCACATATCAGTAACAGAAATATAGAGACAGATATGCCAATTGCTGGTCCCCATGATGCAGTGATGGGCTCTCCTATGATTGTTTTTGTGATCTCATCACATGTGATCCCATTTGCACAAGAGCATAGGTGGACATTCAGAGTCTGTTGCCTAAAAACCCTTTGTAAATCTTGTATACGGAGAGGCACCGAGTAATCGCCAGGAGAGAGGTTTTTCAGCATAAAAAGTTCAACCGATTTACCTACAAAACAGAGGAAAGAAACAAAAACATCCATCATTCTCCAACGATCCTTGCTAAGATTATTGTGCTAATATTGTAATAAGGTTGGGTTTTTTAATAAAAGATCCAGAGAAAAATCCTACAAGTTGGATTAGCTGTCCAACCTGCCTTGAATACTTCTGAAGAAATGAATTCTAACATGGAACAGATCTTTGGTGTCCAAAAGGTTAGTGACCACTGCAGTAAAGCAAAACATCTATACAAATTAAAACATTGCAGATTCAGATCCAGAATAACAGATTGGAAGGGACCTTGGAGGTCTTCTAGTCCAACCCCCTACTCAAGCAGGAGACCCTGTATCATTTTAGACAGAGACTGCCTCCTGCCAATTACCTCCCAAAGACCGATTCGATCGATCGCACAGACTAGGCCTTCTCCGGATTCCATCTGCCAGCCAATGTCAGCTGGCGACCCCCCCCCCGGGGGGGGAGAGCCTTCTCTGTTGCAGCTCCGGCCCTCTGGAACAAGCTCCCCGTGAAGATCCGGACCCTTACTACCCTCCCGGCCTTCC